CTGAATGATCGTCGACTGAAAGTGCGCGAGCTAGCAGACATAGTAGGCATTTCAAAAAGTGCGGTTCATCGCATATTATCTGAAAATTTGGACTTGACATTTTTGTGTCGTTTCATAACCATGGATGAAACATGGGTCCATCACGTCACAGCCAAGACAAAAGAGCAATCAAAACAATCGACTCAAAGGGGACAACCCGCTCCAAGGAAGGCGAAAACCGTTTGATCTGCAGGCAAGGTTATGGCGTCGGTTTTTTTGGATGCTTGGAAAAGATGAAACTATCAACGGCGAGTATTATGCGAACTTATTGCAACGTTTGAGAGATGAAATCAAGTAAAAACGGCCGCACTTGGTTAAGAAGAAAGTGTTGTGTGTCATCAAGACAATGCACAAGCTCACAAATCCGTTATTGCAATGGCCAAAATTAACGAATTAAAGTTTGAATTGCTAGAGCTCATGCACCCTATTCACCAGATTTAGATCCCTCGGATTATTTTCTGTTTCCAAACTTGAAAAAATGGCTGTGGTCAAAGATTTTCCAACGATGAAGAATTGATGTCGGCAGTTAATGGCTATTTTGAGGAGCAAGATAGTTCTTATTATAAAAAGGGTATCGAACTTATTGAACATCGCACAAAAATTTTGTGTTTTCTTCGTTGGGCCGGCTACTTCTGGGACCACCCTCGTATATTATGAATTTCTGATAAGTTAACTGGCGCTGTCAAAATAACATAACAGGTGGGCTGAAAAGTCCGTATCGTTTCTATGAGATGGCGCCACCAGAATAAAATCCATACGCTTCTTAGCTAGTACCAACCTTCAAAAGATGCCTGTCAAAATTTGACAGCTGTCGGATCATTAGTTTTTGAGTTATCGTATCGAGAGTGACGCTACTTTTGTTATTTTTGAAAACCATGGAAAGTCAAGAGTTTCGTGTGTTAATGAAACATTATTTTTTGATGAAAAAAAGTGCCGTCGAATGCAAGAAATGGCTTGATGAGTGTTATCCGGACTCTGCCCCGGGCGAAGCAACCATTCGCAAGTGGTTTGCTAAATTTCGTACCGGTCACATGTCAACTGAAGACGACGCACGCAGTGGACGCCCAAAAGAGGTCGTTACGGACGAAAACGTGAAAAAAATCCACAAAATAATTTTGGGAGACCGCAAAATACGGTTGATTGACATAGCTGAGGCCTTAAACATATCAAAAGAACGTGTCAGTCACATCATTCATGAATATTTGGATATGCGAAAGCTCTGTGCGAAATGGGTGCCGCGCAATCTCACATTTGACCAAAAGCAACAACGCATCGACGACTCTGAGGCCTGTTTGGAGGTGATTTTGCGCAATAAAACCGATTTTTTTCGCCGATACGTCACCATGGATGAAACATGGCTCCACCACTACACACCGGAGTCAAATCGCCAGTCGGCCGAGTGGACGGCTGCATCCGAACCACCTCCGAAACGTGGAAAGACGCAACAGTCAGCAGGCAAGGTTATGGCCTCTGTTTTCTGGGACGTGCAAGGAATTATTTTCATCGACTATCTTCAAAAGGGCCAAACTATCAACAGCGACTATTATATAGTGTTACTGGAGCGTTTGAAGGCCGAAATCGCCAAGAAACGGCCACAAATGAAGAAAAAAAAAATCTTGTTTCACCAGGACAATGCGCCGTGCCACAAGTCCATGAAAACGATGTCGAAATTGCATGAATTGGGCTTCGATTTGCTCCCCCATCCACCGTATTCTCCGGACCTTGCTCCAAGCGACTATTTCCTCTTCTCAGACCTTAAGAGAATGCTCACCGGAAAAAAATTTCACAGCAACGAAGAAATCATCGCCGAAACTGAAGCCTATTTTGAGGACAAGCCGAAGGATTACTACCGGAAGGGTATCGAAAAACTTGAAGAACGTTATAATCGCTGTATAGCCCTTGAAGGCAACTATGTTGAATAATAAAAGCGAATTTTGACGAAAAAAATATTTTTTCATTGAAACGATACGGAATTTTCAGCCCACCTGTTACTTGGAAGACCCATTTGCAGGCAACTACGACTTAACTTCCTGGTTAAATTTAATTTGTTATTGAAAAACCGGACCTAAGCCTGAATTGTTTCATCTGTTTGGTAGTTTGAGCTGGAAAAATGGATATGATAAAATGAAACATTGGGTTGACTCAACATAAAGCAGTACTACAACCGACGGAAATTACTAACTTTGCACAGAGTTATCCGACTGAATACTGAACACGAATAAATCTTTTACGATTTTCCTCCATTTCAACCAGGAAAATGTTCGTTTTGTTCAAAGCGAAAACAAAAAATCCTTTTACTGTGTCCGTGGCACCTTAGACAAACTGCTGCTATCCAGAACATAAACATATCTCCTGCTCCTGTTCAACTTTATAGTCAAGATGTATGTTCCATACGCACACAAGCAACAATGTTAAGCTAGTTACTACAACTTTGATCACTGGCATAATATATTGCAGCCGATACGTTCCAGTTACGCCCTCTGAACAACATCTATAATTTAACGATGCGTTACGGGAAAGTTTCGCCGATGCACGGTGCACAATTCCCCTGAACGGATATTATGCTGCTATGATAGACAACTTCGGTCGTTGTTCCACAATGCACGTTGTTGTATCGCCAATAAAGGTGTGATCGATGAAAGTGTCCCAAACTTTAAACTGCTCATATGAGGTGGGTTCAGCTAAGACATTTTGTTGTTATAACGAGGCTAAAAACAAGAGATCCGAAGCATATAAGCTGGTCAGCTTGTCCCCGTTTTTTCTCATCGATTCTGAAGGAAACTTTGACGTTTTTCAAAAGCCATGTACGTAGGAACATCACACGCGCCTATGGATTATAAAATGATATAGGATGCGCTAGTGTTTTTGTTTTACCAGGAGACTGGAAGTTTCTTCATGTCAAGGCGATTTTAAATATATCAATGGGTTTAGCTCGATAAATTAGATTATGTAAATTACCTACTATTTACTCTCCACGGCAGTAAGATGGGAAATATGAGATATATGTCAGCCGAAACCTTCTCTGCCTACTTGTCTGTCTCAATACTACCTTTTACAACTTGAAAAATGGCTGATTTTGACGAAATTTTGATACAAGGCAACCTCCTCGAAACAAATTTGCAGTTTTCGGAAGAATAACGATTAAAATAAGAAAAAATGGTCTTCTTTTTGTTTCCCAAAACTGTCATCCTCCATCTTTTGTTTGGATTCAGTCTTCTTAACAACACTGAGGTTGGACACGATATTTTCCAAGAACTTCTACCGATGGATACTTAATGGCCTCAGCTAGTTTTGCTTTATTTGTGTCACTTGCTTTCTTACTTAAGATCGTCTTTGGTACCCTCTGAAAATTGGTTGAGTAACTAGCTGTAACTTTCAAAGTTTGATTTGATCCAGTTGCTGTCCCTATCTCCGAGTATTCATCGTCTCGTAATTGGTGTTTCACCAGATTCTCTGTTGTCTGACTTTGACATTAAGTTCAAGATTTCCATATAAGTAACCATCGGTAGAAGAAGTTGTTGGAACTATGTCCAACCTGTTTAAGCTCAGTACCAGTTTTTATTAACTTGAATCCTCCAACCTTGATAGGTAGGTGTACATGCACTTATTAGACATATTTAGATATATTTTCCGATATTTGAAGCGATGATGCAACGCCGTGATGGGTTGGCCAGCGCCGATGAATCTATATCTGCCATCATTCCGGATGGTCGGTACTGTCGGTAGGACGGTAGGGCAGATCGCAAGTTGTCAAATGCGTAGGACTATGGACTAATTGCATGAGCCACTGATTTCATTTGTTATACATGTTCCTACCTAACTTGTGCTTAATGTAGTACTTAACGAACTGATGACAGCGTTTCGTGGAAAGTGCAGAGACAAACTACATGACGCCATATTTTGACTCGAAGGGCATCGAAGAACAATGTTACTGATCTAGGGACAGAATATTGTCTACTGTTATCGCACATACGATGTTTGAAGGGTCCATACTGCGATCGTGATATACAACACAGCTTTATAACGCCGGATTAGAAAGTGGCATCAAGAACAGGCCCTGTTTAGCAGGCCATCGAAAGATATGGTCACATAACCTAAGGTTATTATGGTTTAGTTTGATATTCTCATTTATATGTATGGACGATATGCTTTTGCAATGGGTATACAAGCGATCATGTCATGGTTTACTATTACGACTACATTCTATCAAGCCTGAGCTCTTATACAGCCAAAACAAATTGGAGGGCTTTCAAAGGGATGCCAGTAGGAAATCCTCTTTAGCTTGCATTAATTCCTTACATAAAGGAGGTAAATCCCGTATTTGTTCTCGCTACACGAAGCTTCTACGGAAATTGAGTTTTTCATCGGGGACGTGTCTGGGGATCAAGCTCTTGTTATAATACGAGAGTTGTACCTATTTAATTTTGAATAAGCATCGCCGTGGCAATGCTGTGTCATGTCACACAAAAGGAAGGATCTTTCACATACTGTCAAATATTTTATTGCTGCAAAAATATAAATAACCGATGAAGTTTCAGGCACAAGGTTTCCTGTACAATATACGAACATTGTAACATTTTCTGATTTTTTTAATCACATCCACGAAAATGGTGCACTAAAAATTCAGTTTTCCAGAAGGATGTTATTGTCATTTCTTTATGTAATTAAGACACTATCAGGCCAAAAAGTTATTTTTTCTAAATTTGCTTGTATTATGGCAGATCTAAATGTGCAGAACAAAAATGTGAATGAGCATTTGACTAGTTTAGGATATGGAGATAAAACTGCTTCAACAGTTGGTCCTTCCTATTCTCACATATAAGGCATTTAATTTGAGAAAATGACATAATATGAGGATAAATTCCAGCTATTCACTTAGCGAATTGCCAGGTGGTCAAACTTAACAGTGAAATAGCCAATTGTTTTATAATTTTCACATTGTTCCCATATCGTTCGTAAAATTAGATATACGAGACAGACAAGTGGTAGGTCGGTAGTGTGCGCAGTCTATCGCGCATCCTCTTCACGACATCATTGCTCAAGGCCGAGTTCAAGGAGCCAGTTTGTGCTGAGCTGCATTGGCATAAACATGCTATGTTTATTCTCCCGCTAAGTGTGAATTGAGGAGTGCTATTCGTTTCCTGCAACCACCCACCCACTACACAGTCCCGACCTAGCTCCGAGTGGTTTCCATCTTTTTCCTGAACTGAAGAGATGGCTAGGAGGTCTGCACTTTCCAACTACTGAGGAACTTCAGGAAATTGTCAATCCTCATGCAAATTCACTAGCGGCAACATTTTATGAGGAGAGCATTGGAAAGCTTGTCCACATGTGTGACTCAATCTGCAAGGCGACTATGTTGAGAAATAGACATAAGTGTATATACATTTCGGTAATAAAAGAATTGTTTTATTTACTTGTCGCTTATTTCTGATCCATCGGAGGTTAAAAAAAACAGCCCTCGTACTATTTTGGTTCTAGTTTCCAAAATACCCAAACCTAAAATTGCTTAAATAGCGAGTGTTGACTAAATTTGAAGTTATGTAGTACAACGAACTTTTTCTTCAAAAAAATCATAAGACATTCATCTCAAAGTATAAATCCTCCCTTTGAAATACTTCCAAGATTGCTTAAATATCTTACTTACACTTCGAGGCTTTAATTATCCTGAATTTCACTATATTTGATACTCTACAAGCTATGACTACGGGTGCGTCAAATTTGTGGTTTGGATTATACACCAAAAATTTAATAACAAGTTAAAGTATTTTTACCTGCCAACTAATAAAAGCTTTAATTACCTAACATTAAAACTATAAAATATCTATAACTTACCCAAGCCACAAGTACATACCCGCCCTACCCTATCAAGGTCGAGTTTAACATTCTTACTTTCGACAGCATAATCTTTTTTAAATTATAAACCTCTCGCTTTTGATATAAAATTACCTGACCTAGATCATAAAAAATTAAATTTTAAAATGCCATATCTCAGCGAAAGGAAAATATATTTAAGAAAACTCAAAAGCATTTTTTTGCCCCAGCTGTGCATTACTCCTTTAGCGACACAACCTTCGTTATGCTTGACACAGTCCCATATCGTAAGTTGGATGTTTCTATACAAGGCATGCGACTATACCTGCAGTTACCTATTTTGTTGCCTAGCATTTCATTTGGGGATATCGCTAGGAGTCAAGAAAATTGATTACGGTGGTCATCCTAGAAGACCAGTAGGCCGCAAAGGGCCAAACATGTTCTCGATCTGACAAAGCCTTTAGCAAAATATAGTATTTTTTTCATATATCACGATATCTTACTTCCAATTAGAGTAAAATAAATAGGTTCCATACTAGATTAGATATCAGTAAAACTCTTTTACAAAAATTTTCCATATTTTTTTTTTTATTTTGGTTGTACACGAATTTCTAAATGGTGGCAATGCGCGAAACACAAAAACCGTATTTTTTGTTTCCACATACAATCTGAAACAAATTGCAACAAGCCTATTTATCATGCAGCGTGAATAATCAACACAAGGCTTAATAAAGCGGGTGATAAATTTTACAGTTTGTAAATTGTAAAAAGTTTCAACAGCTGGCGAGTGTTTTGGACCCTTCAGCATTGTACGCGTTACTATTGTGATGCTGAAACAGTTTTTCCAGGAATAATTGAAATTGCAGCTACCGGTGGACCATCACGTCATCAGCTTTGGTGTTGAAACTAGGCTCATTATACAGGATGTTTCACGAAAAGGCACTGATATTCGTTTTTTCTTTAGACCAAATATTTTGTAGAAAATGCATGGTGGCCAATATATAACTCACCGACCTTTTTTTCCAAGACGAAATGAAATAAAACCATATTTACATCTAAATCTTTTACTAGTAGTTAAGATATATGACTAAAAAACGATATCGCATAAAAATCCGCACAATCTTGAACCCTATTGAAGTTCGTTTTTCATCGCTTTTTTGATAGGTTCTGGGAAGAACATTTAGAACGGCTTTCCTAATATTATTCTCCAGCTACTCTGCAGTGATATAGTACGTTGACAGAAATCGTATTCTTATGAATCCCCGAATACGCTTGAGGCCGTTAAATCTGGTGATTAGATGACACCGCCCATTGAGAAATATTCATAATTTCTTTATATGTATAACCCTTTGCTCTGTCCTGCTGGAACTTTATTTCTTGCAACTCAAATTGTCGAGTTTAAGACTGCACGAAGTTTTAAATCATATCGTGGTAACGATTGCGAGTTACACCAAATTGCAGCATGTCGTTAAACACATGAGCAACAAGTTGTCGCGTCGCAAAGAAACGAACGTTTAGCATTACAATGATGTATATGTACACAGCATCGACGCAGGTTCGACAGAATAGACGTTTTCAGCGTGGCAATTTTGTTGGTAGAAATAGGGATATTTTGTATAAGAAAATCCTACAATTTTTGCAACAGAACATTTTTTTGGGGTACCGTTAGACTATGGCTACCTAATGATAAGTTCAAATTGGCTTGTTGGCAGTGCTCCAGCATTTGCCGCCATTTTGATAAACGCGTTTGAACAATTTTGTAGGAAATTAAATTCTTCATGATTTTGCTTCTATAAAAATTTGTCTTACAGCCAACAGATTGCGAGAAATTAAAAGTAAGCCTGCATGTAATCCAAGAGTATAGAACACTACTATTTTTAAAAGCTTTTAATTTTGTAGATGATAGTATATGATATAAAAAAGGTCTTTCCCCTTGGTTATTGGAATATAATGGGAAAAAGTTTAAAATTCGCATCAAAACAGTTGTAGTTACGGGCAGATAGTGTTACTGACGAGCGTTGCCGCCATATAACGCAAAATCTTTATGGATAATAAAATTCGACAGCTTCAGCTGCAAATTTTGTCGGAGCATCCTGCCGCAAAACTAGACAAATGACGTTTTGCGAAGGAGTGATGGAAAAAGTAATCTAGAGGTCTCATGCTTACCTGTATGTAGCTTTCAGAAGCTATGTGATAGCTTTCAATAAAGAATGAAGTGAAAAACTGAGTTCATTTCACTACATTTTAAAAATATCAAAGACGAGGATCAGCAGGCTTATACATTCGCCACCCTGTATTCTGTTCCGAAGATAGACGGCGAACATTTTAAATGGTTCTACTGAATTAAAAAGTTTCACATGACATTTTTGTGAAAAAAACCTTTTCAAAAATCGTCTAGCGACAAATATCCTAAGAGAAATAGAGTTCGGAAGTTCCGAATCATTCAGGAAATAGCTTCAGATCTTAGGTCATAATAGTTATCAAAATATTACCAAATTATGTATTTACTATTTTTATTCCATCAGGTAAAATTATCCTGAGAAGTTCATGAAATCACATAGCGATTAATTTTACAAACATTTCGGCTACTACCAGATACCCAACCTTATGCTATATTCCCGCGTTCAAAAAATTATTTGAGATAACATAAAATACGGTAGTGAATGAGAAGCTCTCACAGCTGTTTCTCTATTTGCTATATACTTTGAAAAGGTTATTGTTCCTTAGATAGCGAAGTAGCCCCCTACAGTAATGGACAAAAGTATATAGATAAATTAATATTGTGCTGTACTTCTTTTTTAACTTGTTTTATCAATACACCAACCTGTATACATAATTCGTTATAGCATAATACTCACTTATACATAAATAAATTCATTAGACTCCCTTCAATAATGAATTAATTGAAAAAAACTGGAACTATGAAGGACAAAAATATACAGACAAAGCAAAACAATTATAGAAAAAAGAAGCAAAGTTCATTGAATTATAGAAAACCAACCATGTTTGTGTTAATATTTTGTAGCATAACCATTATTATCAATCACCGCCTGGCATCGTCTCGGCATAGATTGTAGAAGTTTCTTGATATAAGATTCATCAATATGTCTCCACTTTTGTTCTAAAGGGGCAAAAAGTTCATCCTTGTTTGAATAATTTTTATCTCGTATTTGCTTATCTAAGTATTCCCATAGATTTTCAAATGGGGTTTATATCGCGAGACTGTGAACGCCATTTGAGAACTGGTATTTTTTCATTCAGAAAGAATTTCTTTGAGAGAATATAGGGTAAAATGACATGCTTTAGTATGTCTGTGTATACAAATTTACCCATTATGCGATCTATTCTGTGTAAAGATCCCACCATAAACCCCGAAAAGCACCCCCAAACCATAACAGACCCGCCTCCATGTTTGACTGTGGGCAAAGTGTACTTGAGGTTCAATCTTTGTCCACTAGGACGTCTAACGCAATGAACACCATCTGATCCAAACAAACTTGGATTCGTCACTGAAACATACCCTCTTCCAGTCACAGATGCTCCAATCAAGATGCTCCCGTGCAAATTGTAATCGGTCCTTACGGTTTTTCCTTGAGATTAGCGGCTTCTTACTCGGGCGACGTGCAAATAACTCAAATCATTTAATAATATTGTCCAAACTGATTTACGCTTCAGCTTCAAATTTTTGGCAATGTCGACTTGACATTGACCATCTTTGTATAACTCAATGATCTTAGTTTTCACATCGAAAGAAATTTCTGGACCATGCAGCATGGTCTTAAAATCACTCAACTTATTCCACAATACTTGATGAACACAAACTAATCCTCTTCTGACACGAAACTGTACTAAACTAATGTTGAAAAGAATTTGTCTACATATTTTTGTCCCTCATAAAAAAATGATTATATTCAGACTTGTGTTGTGTTCATTGCAGATAATGTAAAAACAAGGAATTTAGTTTTTCTATTAATAACGCATTTGTATGAGTTCGTTTTCTAACGGTATTTAGGTAAATATTCATATTTGTCTATATACTTTTGTCCATTACTGTATCATCATATACACAGGGCCATCTCTGACACTAACTTTTTCAAAGTATATGTAATAAATAGAGAAACGGATGTGAGAACATGTCTCATTTTATCTCAGATAATTTTTTGGACGCAAGAATATAATATTAGGTTGGCTATCTTCAGGTTGTATACGTTCGTCAATTCTACTGCATCAATCAGTACAAAATAAAAAAGTTAACGCGAAAATTCTGTGTGGAAAGGGACATTAAACATTTCCTCTATTATTGAAGCTCCAACCAACTTTATGCAGTGTGCACAGGTATAATCCTCCATCACTTAAGATCAATAGCATTCTGTAACTTGGAATGTAATTTATACTCTTAGGTATGCTCCATTCATTGAAATGCCAA